AAGTTATACGTGGGATTCATTAGCACATTTAGAGAGCTCGTTTATGGGTAGTAAGGACTTGAGTCAGGTGGAAATTACGTTTATCATCTCTGCTATCGTATTCCTGTTCACTCTGGTTGTGTGGTCTTTGGCTCAAACGGATATCTTTGATCATGCCCCAACTCTTCCCACTTAGTCCATCACTATTATGACCTTTTGTGAGTGCAATCAACCACTACTGATTGATGACTGTAAAAGATATTTCGCTCGCATGTTCACGCATGTGATATATGAACACCCGCCATCTTGCTCAATAACAACAGTTTGAGCCCCCTGATTGGCTGTCTAGTCTTTGCTCCCCCCTTTTTTATTCAAGTCTTGGTAACTGCGCATCGAAACCAAGCCTTAAAACCTGGCAATGTGTAACCCTAGGCACACTGTTTTGATTAACCTTCCTGGGCAATTTTGATTGACAGGCCACCACGTTTGTGAGGATACCAACTTCAAGCGAGGCAACATTTATTGAATTCTTAATGCTTGAATTAGCAGGGCTTGAACGGGTAACGGGATATACTCTCTGTCATAGGCAAGGACTTCAGTAACACTTATGTTGACAAGATTCAGTGCTGCAATTTTGGCGTTCCTTTCCAGATATCTGCCATCTCGAGAAGTTTTAGCAGCCTACTGTAACATCTAAGTCGTGGTAAGAGCATGCGTTGAAGGCAAGACATGTCTTTCCTTTCAACCTGGTTTTGCAGATAGTGTCATATTAAACGTTGCTTGGTGCCCAAAATTCAACGTGAAAGCGACTCGAATTTGATCCGTGGCAAAGTAGGTTTGCATTCCAGTACAGCTAAGCACGCAAAGGCTAAGGCCATTTAGGTTTGTGAAAGGAATTCGCTTGTATTTTGTGCCGGCCATTTGTCAGAAATGCTCGCATTGGGAACAAATTCCTTCCTGCCTTGTTTTGACGCACGAGAACTGTTCGCACAATATCACCCTGGGATATCCATCGTGCTAGGATTGCGGGTAAAATCCTGCTGACGCAAGATTCCGCGAGTACAACTAATATGATATATTTAGAGTGAGAGAATCCCTGTACTTTATACCTTATCTAAGGTCTAGAAAAGAATTTTCGGTCGCAAATTATTAGAAGCGAAGCACCTCGAGGCAGTTTACCCAGGAGACGCGATCGTAATTTGAGCTGAAGGTTTTCATCGAAATTGCGAAATTCGTGACAGTTTAAGTCTACATTTTATTTTTCCAATACTGCCGTTTGCCTAGAAAGTAGGCATTGAAAAAGACTTTTATCTAAATACTGGTAAATAAATGCATTCTGTAAGCTAAAGGTTAGGTTAAATTTATAGCAAAAAGAAGGCAAAATGTTAATTGCTGTGAAAGATCACCCGATATCTGTCTTACACGGAATTAACAAATATGGCCATGGTAATTCGGAAAGCCGGATTGGTTGCCTGTAGACAATTTAAGAACGTTGCACGGTACTTGCTAAAACGGCTGATAAAGCCAGGTGCAGTATTAGACTTTACAAAAGAATTTAATTGCACAAGTCAGACATAAAAAATACACATGTATTTTCCGCATTTAGGTAGAGGATTTTTTTAATGAGTACAGTTGGCCAATCATGTTATTTGCGGAAGCCTTGTACCGTGGAATGTATTGATTTAATCTTGTTTATTACAGCCCGTTTGTCTGAACAAAATGAATTTAGTTTCAAATTATAAAAACCTTTTTACCAGCACGGTCTAAAGATATCTGGGCCATAAATAGATGGATAAGTTTTTCATTTTATTCATTCCCACTATCCTGTCAAAATAACAATTTGGGTAAATCTTGTCCAGTCACCAAATTTCTAAAAAACGATCTAATCGTCAATAAAAATTTATAGTCATCAAGTTTTTGTTAGTAACTGCAATGGTTCATTCGGTAAATCACCGAATCTTAGCGTTTATAAGGGCATTCCTCACGTACTTTCAATTTGGACCTCTTTTTTTTAAAGAAAACTGCAATTATACTCAAAGCCGCAGATGCAGAAATCATCTAAATAGACTTTAACTGGACGAAAAGAAAGTCTTTACGTAGGAGCACACTCCAGCTCAACCTCGCGAACATTTCACTTTTTGCTAAAGTATTTAAATGGCTTATACGCACACATTATGAAGGAATTCATTCTTCCTGAATGTCTTCTACGGAAGTCAGCGTTTTCAAAGACTGTTCATTGTCAACTTAAGATTTCACCAGTGTTTTCACAACTACCTTAATCATGCGATAACATTTGGTCACTCTACCTCGTATGCCCTTACACTGACAGTTCCGTTATAGTCCATCAGATGAACGTCTCCCCCCGCATAGAAAATCGCGCACACAGACCATGAAATGTTCTCCGGCTGAAGTCTAGTGTTTATCGTAGCTTCGGAAAGGGTTTCTCTTAATTCCACCTAGGTGTTGTAGCTGCTTGACAGTAGCAACAACCGTGTCTGAGCCATCTTTGGGAACACCCCAAAGTCAGAGTTTATAGGTTTTTCATCTACCAACGCGATTTTACCTTCCCTGGTATTTTGTTCGGATGCTACTCTTTTATTCCTCTTTGCTTCTGGAAATAATAAAACACGTAAGAATACTATTTGCGAGCTTTATCAGTCGCATTTGAATCCATTGTACCGGCCTCGTTTGAAAGTAGATAACGATTAAAGGGGTAGTTGGATATAATTCGAAGACAGTGTCAACAATTACCTGGGATACAGAGGCTTAGTTGCATGTGCTAGTGCCTCACTTATACACCGAGCTGGAGTGTCATCTAAAAGTTAAGATTTTCCTTTTTAAGTTGTCCACGAAACCACGTGTTCGTGCACACTTTCTTAACCCACGTATGTGATTAAATGGATCTTTCACTTGGTCTGTGCACTGTTGATTCAAACGAACCACGAAAAAATGGTTTAAATTATCAAAAAGCACGCACACGAAATTTATTAATAGCTGTGATAAGCAATCCGAATATTCAAGGAATAATGAAATCAGGCAGATTCCAGTTTTATAGCTATAGAGAAGCGCCCCAAGCACAAAACATGATTTTTAACATGGAATCCGGTTCCTAACAAAGTGGATTTTAATACTGCTGCGCTGTTTGCTAGCTTAGTCAATGGTAAAACCTTATTGCCAATCGTGTTGATTCACATTGGTCAATCCGGTCACTCCAGCTTCCGACACGGGGCCCCCCTTCTCACAGCATATCACCGACCGCGATGAACTTCAATTCCCACCGAATTAGGGCAAAAGATTATCCTGGATTACCCTCAGACCTAGGTCTCGATGTCAGAGCATCTATGACACACATCTAAAATATAAATGCACACGTGAAAGCGCCACACAAGACACAATGGCGCCATTTTAGTTGAGTTCTGAAGTAAACGGCTTTGTTCACTTTCCTCATGTCTTTTTCTTCATCGCGGGTAGCAGGGAAGCGTAATCGGGTCAGATTAAACTCAGTGGCCCCGACGTGGTTCAAGACTACATGATGGGGCCTAAAACAACTTATTCACGATTTCGTCTTGGGAACAATGCTCAATTCCTCTCATACGCGACAGAGCGTCTATTTCAAAATTAAAGAGCATCAAGAGACTAAAATGTGACCCAGCTAATAAAAGGGTATTTCACAATTTTTCAAAATGGCTATCGCTCATCTGACAGCATACCTCCAATAGTCCAAAAGCTCCATGCTAGCTTCCATCAGAAGAAGGTAAAAGAGAGCAGACCTGGATATCCAAGGTTCAATCTTACGTGAATAGAAGTACTATTTACGTTCAAAAATAAAATGATCTCATCGGTCAGAGCCTCAACTCAGCAATCGCGCAGAAACCAATCTAATAATATTATTGAGCACGCAAGCGATTTCCGGAAAAAACAATTTAATACAGAGAATAAATATTGTAAATTGCTTCCCAAAAATGAGCCGAGGGAATACGTCACCCAAACTACTAAAATGAAATGTCGCTTAAGGTTCAGTAACCTCAAAAAAGAATACACAACAAATATCAGCGATGCAGATAGGGCTTCTTTGATGACAAATGCAGTAAGTAAATTTTAAAAGGTAAAAAAATGTGACTTATTCAATGTCACTTCCTTGCATCTAGTTACGGGAAGGGCTTAATTCACTACATATAGAACTTTGGATTTCAAGAAATCGCAGAATTTTGCAATATTGGAGCCTCAAATTAAAAAAAATCGGCCTAAGTTTTAGTGCGAAGAAAAATTTTTTAAACTGTTTATTTCCCAAAGCTGGATAAGTAATCTACTTTCTCCTGAGTTTAGCCCCTTTTGGTACAATACACAAACAACCTTTAAATAGCACTAAGAGTTAATAATATGTCTGAATTTTTGCACCACTTTGTCAAATGTATCAATTAATTTTGTGAATTCAACATTCATCAGGTTTATTTAAATAACTGAATTCTTATAGGTCAACCTGCGCATAAAATTTGGTATTTATTATGCAACATTTGGCTCTTGCATTTTATTTTGATAGAATATTAGGCCAATTGACCAATTTTTATTAACAAAATCCCAATTCATTCTTCCAACGCAAGTCAGGCGACATCTATCTTCAAAATTGCGCAATTTTGGCTAAAATGGCTCCTTACTAGATTATTATTCATCCAATATTTTCCAATCTCCCGCTAAATGTTTTCACTGAAAGTTATAACAGTGCACGATCCATATGTACAATTTTTTTGACATTTATATTGGTCAATCGTAGCAGATTGTTGAATACCGTGCAGAAATGAAAAATTCAGACCCTTTACATTACTGTCATGTATAAAATTTTTAAAGTTTTTTCATAATCTTTAAGAGGTAATGAGATAAAACAGATGAAACAATAAAAAGGAAGAAAAAACCATTCAGGTATTTACTTAACCACAACGCTTTTTGAAACAAAAGCGCGCATTTCAGTTTTTGTGTCTGTATTGTTTACTTTCTTCGTTGCGTTGAACTATATCACGCTTGAAATGTCTGAAATCTCCGAAAAAATATTGGAAATAGAAAGAAATATTCATGAGGGCGAAACGATGCTTTCGGTCCTTCATCGGTTGCCCGAATCTGAGGTTCGAATCTTCGATTATTTCATTCTAGTTTTAATTAAGGAGACTAATGCACAAATCAATCGTTTCCAAGATCTTGTCCGGCAACTTGAAGACTACCGGGATCGGTATAAAGCCCTTGAGGTTTTTTCGATTCATTTTTATTGAGATATTTTAGGTGTCACCTACCAACAATATCGAATCTCAAGTGGAAGCCCTTCGTCATAAACACGATGGAATAAAACTCCTTTTTGAACAGTCGGTTGCTAGGGTAAATTTAGTCCGGGTTTATTATTCTTAAGAGCTACGAAAAGTTGTGTTGACAGTTATTTTGTTTTAGGAATCTCTGTCTGCTGCGAAACACTCGCCGTCAAACGCAATCAGCGGTCAGCCTCGAGAATTCCACAGGCACAGATCGTCTCCAGATCCCACACAATTACATGCAAATAGCTCTTCGGAAGTTGGAGACGGGTCTGTTCGAAGAGCGGCTGTGTTGTCTGGGGATACGCCTGATGATAACGATCATTCAGATGATGGCAATTACGTCATAGAACCGTCAGAGTGGCATCTCCACTACCAAGTAAGTCTAACATATTTGATTTAAGAAACTATAGTAATAGTTTCACTGAGCGTTCAAGATGCCTATCTCTAGTTTTCGCTCCATTGTAAACCCTATTGGTCGTGGCCGGGGACCAGTTTGAGCTATTCAACATACTCTGTTGTATTATATAAAAGCGTTCTGCTAAAAACATTGCAGTAGTTCCATGCCCTTTAGGACTTAGCTGTATATCCATTAATTTATGCTTGTTCGGCATTTATTTCCTTCTCTGCATTTACAAATGAAGTCAATGTGCTGTAATTTAAGCCAGTTGTTGATTTTCATGCACTTCACTTTTTCCATAATTTGATTTATTTACAGTCACATGATCAAGCCGTGTTTTTTAAAAATTTATTACTTCACTTGTAGTCAAACTTATCACCGATTTCGCCCATAAGCTGTGTAGAAATTTCATGTATTTGGACCATTGACCTAGTGAGCCTCATGATTTTTTTTTCTTATTTCATATTAGGCTCAAACAAGCCAACTGTCAAGCATGTTATCCCAAATTAGTTGCTTCCAAGAAATGGTTGGTCGTCTTTCAAGACTCGTTATCGGTCTGGTAGGTTGTCGCATTTTGTTTGATGACTCTTTTCGGATCAGGGGATGACTGAGGCAGCAACTCTTTTAAGTGATGTCGGACAGCGTTTCACTGAGGTTCATGTGAGACTCATTTCACTCCACAAAGCCTATGAGGTGAGTGCTCACGATAATCGGCATTTTTCTACGCATTTTTTAAATCTAAATTAAGCTTCCTTAAATGGTTCACTGTTTTATGTCAGCGGTTAAAGCTCACCTTGAACCTCGTCCTCGTCAGCCTATTTTTGAAACAAATGCCAGACTCTCTTGTGTGCTTGGAAAGGGTTCTGTCGAATTCATTCTGCAGGTAGATGTTGATTCTGTTACCACTTCATGTGCAACTTCGGGAAAATGTACATCTACGACAGTTCATCGCTTTTATTTACTCGCCGCTTTGCGTCCGTTATTGGTGGTTGTAAATACCACAAATCACTTGGCATTAACGCCGGAACTGTTCGAATTTTTCATGCAAAAATTTGCTTGTTTCTTATGCTCATATGTTTCTACCATCTAATTCATGTAGTCCATTAGCCCTTTGCACCATTTGGGCGTGTATAGTCGTAATGACGGTTGCTCCTCTATACTGATCGGCTGTTGAGGTAAATTTCCAGATTTCTTGGATAATCGTTCAAATAGGGAGGCTTTTGTGCAGCAATGGGGCAGAATCATTTCACTTTCAAGTCTTGACCTAAGCGTAGGAAATGCCGTGTATTCACAGTAAGCCAAAATTTGACTGAATCAAAACGCAATTCACACAATGGTAGCAATTTGTTGTTCTGGTATCCCTTTTCCCTTTACTAATGAGCTCCAGCTATCTGCCGTGCTTATTCGGTTTCAAATCGCTTGTGATCCAGCTATTCGTCTTTTTCAAACTCGTTTTTATTATCTTCAGTTAGGTAGCCAGCTGCAACTTCCCCGAACGATTTGGCATTGTTTGCTTCCCTGGGCTTTCTGCCATTTTTTGTCGACAATCTCTTGCTGCATTTTGGCTACGACGCTTTGTTTATTGTAGGCACTTTACAACCACGAGAATTCATCGAGTGAATTCAGAGCCAGTCAGGTAAGCCTGTTTCCCGTCCCCAAAACTAGCCATTATTTTAGTTTAGGTAGAAATATGGCAGAACCTAGACTGTTGTTCCGTCCAGCTATGAAAAGTTGTCCCAGTTGATTTAATTTCTTCCTACTCTAGTTACAATTAAACTAATATTGGTTTGGTGTGAATAACAGTTATTGCTGGTGTTGTTGTTGGCTCATGTATAATCTTGTGTGATATGCGTATTATCAGAAATTTGTTTTACCTGTTTCATGCGCACAAACGTAGGTGACGTTCTCGTTGATAACACTAGCTTTTTTATTCTAACTCATACGAATGTGTGAATGCTAACAAGTGGGCACTGAGTTAACGGTTCGCCGGACAAACCATGAATGGACTCAGGTTATATCATGCAGTTTTGTCTTTTTTTTATCTAGCTCAAAGAATTACGCGTCTTCCTGATAACCCTCGGTCGAAGTTTGGAAGTGACCAAAGACTGTTTCCACTCTGTTGCGGACGTCGTCAAGAGGGTTTTTGCCGGCCAGTCCGTAGGTTTCTTCATTAAACTTTGTACTCTCCTCACACCTCGTCGCTGTTTCTAAGACAAACTCTGCTCCTCTAAGCCTCATTGTGTAGAAAACGCCACTGCAGACATGATCCAACTGTCTTTCCCTTCAGCTCTACTCTAGTTCGTGTCCAGGCACCTTGAAAATAATGGTGACTGGCCGATGCTATTTGTTTCGGCGCAGCAGTTGTGCACGGCCATTTTTTCTCAGCCCAGTTACATTGCGGGAAGCTTAAGACATCTTGTGACGACTGTGACACGGCTGTTTATTTGATGGCTCAGCCCTGCTACCTTTTTGTCGTGCATTTCCATAAATCTCAGATGTTCTCTGGAAGGCCATGTCGTGCAAAGACTGTTAACCAATGGACTTTGGATGGCCAGACGCGTGGTTTGAGTGTCGAGGGAGGTACGGCGCAGTGGTGCAAAAGGGGTGGCGAGGTGTCAGATTATGCGATTGTAAATTAAATCCTTAACTTCTATCGCTAAATTTAACCTCATCTTTCTGTGGTAGGGCGATGACCCAACTCAAGGCGAGACAATGCCCGAGGGGTTGGGCGAGTCGGAGCCACCCACGTCTGCGGCTGGTAAGCTCCTGTGCAAAACAAAATCTACTTGATGTTTACAAGTAAGTGCTGTTAATTCTGGGTTGCTCAGGTCCTAGTCAATCCGAGGCCCTTCCGACGAACGGTCCGGCTAGAGAGGATTCGCCCTCCGCATCAGAGGCGAGTCGTCTGCTTAACCAAACAACTATGGAGCTCGCCTTAGCCGATCTGTGCAAACAGCGAGATGACCTTCTTAATCAGCTGGCCGAAGTTCGTTCCAGTAAGCATGAACCACAATTACGGCAAATCGTTCTGTCAGATGTTTTGTTGAAGTGACCTTGCCTATCTACACCAAGTATTTGTTGATTGTAAATGCTTGAATTTATTTCTATAAGTCATTTTCTTGGCATGAGATCACGTCTATTTTGTGATTTTGTACAGCCTCCTTCGGGACGCAGCGTAAATGCCCTTCTCCAGTGGAATGTCGTAAATTTCAGCTAAAGGCGATATTCTTCGAGTCATAATAAACTGTTGTCATAGTGCTGCCCTTCATCACTTGATCAAATGCCGGCCTCATAACTTGCTTATGCCGACTTGCGGTGTCGGCACTGAAGTTCCTTCCAAAGACGTGTTTTAGTAACGCGTCTCGCATCTATTCTTTGTTTTCTCAAACAAAATTGTAATGCCCAAATAATTTACCACAAATCTGAGGAAAAATGCCCTTTGCAATAATTTCAGTATTTCTTAAACCAATATCCTCAATACGTGCCAAATTCCCTAAGCTTGTTTACATTACATGGTCTGATTTACTTAACAATCATTCACGTTGCTGATGGGGTCATTTTGTCAATTTCCGAAGTCAAAAACGCGCGGTCTTTTTATAGCTACTGTTACCCTATGTGTTGCCATGCAATCCCTATGTTGAGCCCTTATTTTTTTATACTAAAGCTACGTCCGGAAATCAGGCGTCATTTTATCTCTGGTCTTCAGGTTTTGTCGGCATTTTTTGTAGCCTGAACAAAATTCACTCACCCCATTCTCTGTAAGGTGGCTTTGTTGCTCTAAAACCTAATTGTTGACTTCCATTGCTGCTGACTTCCAATGCGCTGTTACCGTTCGCACAACGTACGTGACCTGCCTAGGTAGCTAGCTAGCCCCCGCATATTCACGTGATTTGCTTCCTACGTCTGTCAACATACGCCTTCGTACATATCCAATAACTCGTTGCGATCATTCATCTGTGTGGTGCATTTTCTTTGTTCCTATCGCCAGCATGGGTGCATCATTCCGACACCAGCCCACGTAACTGACTGCTTCCTTTTCGCATGTTTGAAGGCAGCGCAAAGAGTATGTTTTCGTTGTTTGCCAAGTCGATAGTTTCTACACAGTCACTTTGGCATTTAATGTGACACATCTTGCGTGTATCGTTTTATTTCTTCTCGTGGCACTTCATGTTCTATTAAGACGCATTCGAAAATCATTTCTAATCGGCCATCACCCTGAACCGACAAGCTCGCTGTTTTGGTGCTTTGTGTTTAAGATAGACGTTCCAGTATTTGGCTGAAGTACTCTGTATATGCATACTCAGACCAACGCCAATTTCTTACATATACCTTATCCTAACTTAAGTAAAACCCAACGTGGTCTCCCCAAAATGCGGTTTTGCGGGAACCACCTTGTGGCAATATAAATGTATTCGGAACCATGGGTGTCTAATTTCCTTTGCTGATAAACCTTCAGCTTTTTAATAAACGGTGATAATGACAAGTTCTAGTTATTTTGTTTATGGTATCGCATTGAGGACCTGGCATTCTTCCCTCAGTTGCGTTGGCAATGTGATCAACTGCACCTGTACCCCGTTTTACGTCCCTCTTTTAGTCCGTTGTTGAGCTTTTAGCAATTTTAGTAGCTCCAGTGCCTTGGAAACTTACGCGATGGACTTGTAATTTTCCTTACTAAAAGTAGAGCGAATTTATTCTTCAGTTTTGTCTCGGTGTCGTTTTCAATATCTCAGCGTGATATTACTACTTATTTATTGGTCACGTTCATCTGATTTTTGGATTTCGCTGCTGTCGGTTCCGTCAGAACTGCCATAAAGTAGATGTATCAAAGCGAAATTTGTGGCTGCGTTTAACTTATCCATGGTAGAGACTCGAGTCGTCCAGCCGTTTTAAACTCTATGTCGATTCCTACGTTCTACGCACCTGGTTCCATGGAGTCACACGCAACCGTTTAGGGTTTTGACTCGCGTTTTATCAAGTTTTTGTTGCTTTGTTGCAGAAAGCCTTGACAGTGCTGCGTCACCAAAGGGCGAGCACAGCGACTTCGCAGACCTTGCCTTGAACCCATCTGCCCCGAGCGGTCATCACAGCGGCAATCAGCAGGCTGTGGCACCGTAAGATTAATGTTCTAGCACGTGGTATTCGCACTTTCTCTGCCTTATTGGTTGCTTCAGCGTTAGCATTAAATTCTAGTCGGTCACTTTGCCTTCTTGGTGGTTGACAAATTTCCCTACTCGTAGAACGAATCCGTGGTGCGTATTGCGGCTTGGAAGTAGTAGTGTGGTAGTCGAAACCTCACTGATGGTAAATTTAGCTTAAAGTGCAAAAGAACTGCTGACCCAGCTTTTTTTGGCATCCACTCACTGTCGATCTGTGGGTGAATGGGAAGGTAATGTAACTAAACAGCAGCGTTTCTTGCTGGTGCCAGCAGTTTTGACTACTTGCGGAGGATGTTCAGTTGTTTGCCTAAGTAGCGAAAAAGAGTCAAAGGGGCTAAACCCGCTTTGTGGTTTAAATTTCCTTAGGCTAATCCCTCTAATTTTGTTTCATTCAGTGCACCAAATGCAGAGCCTGCTGCAGGTGTGGTTGTGGCTGAGTCGTTGCCCATCCTGAAACGTCTTCAGGCCCGAAAAGAGCATCTGGAGGAGTTGAGAAGCGAACTCCGATCCTTCTCCTTTTCAAACAGCGATGAGATGGAAGCCCAGGGCACACCCATCGCCACTTCCAAAGACAACGCACAGTCGGTGCCTCCGCCTTCCAGTGTGCCAACGCCGAATGTTTCCATTAAAGTACGCCTGTTGGTTGTCAGAATTGGTTATTTTCAATTTCTTTTCACTTCTGCTCTCGTTGTTTTCGCCTAAATGCCACATCTACGCTTAGTCGGTTGAATTATGGAAAATTTGGCCTCAGATATGTCAGAATAATTTTAGGCTTCGTTAGTAGTGGGGTAATGTAAATAGAATATTTGAAGGTGTACGAGACTTAGAATTTGATATTGAAATACCCCGTGAAGACTTGGAAATCGCGAAACCTGTTTGCCAAAAGTTATTACCTGAAGATGATCAGAAGGTGTTATCGCTCCGATTTTTCGCATTGTATAACCACCCTTGTCTTGTTTTTTTTAAATCGGTGAACCGGAAAACTAGATCTTCATGGTAAAGCACCAAAATTTTCATTTCCAATAAGGCAAAATTTCGTCTCCCAAGTATTCAGCTGTATTAGTTGGATCAACACACAGGAAAACACAAAACCCAATACCGACATATCGAGTTCCAAATCAACAAACAAATTTTTGTGAACACTGACACGATTGCTGTTGACTTTTGACATTTGAACTCGTCTGGCATCCCCCCACACCGGCACGTTTTGTTAGGTCATCCTTAAGGCCGCTAAAATTGAATATTTTATCGTTTTCAGTGTTCATTTGCTTTGTTTTGAAATATTAATGGCTTTTTGAGAAGCGTAGCCACTAAAAGACAACTGTCCATCAAATCACCGGGTTTGAAATAAGAAATTTCAATTCCACCTTAATTCCTCGCCTAATGCAAATCAATCTCTACCTCGTTGAATTTCGGTCCGAGCTGTTAAAAGGCATATTTGCTGTAGGTGCCGTCACCGTCGCCTCACGCTAGCGTCACAACCACGAATTCTGTTTTGGCAACCTCGAGTCTTGCCAACAGCCACATCCCAGCCCGTCGTCCCAACACCCAAGGTACCACATCCATCGCTAGCAGTGACAGCGACGCCGTCACTCAGAAGTGCGAAGTCGTCACCTTCCAGGTAGTCTTTCAAGTTGTTGAGTCTTTTTTTTAAAAAAATTACCTTTCTGTGTCTCGAGTATGCTAGTCGAAGCAGATAGACAAGGGGAACAGCAGCTGTGGCAACATCAACTGCGCGTATCACGTGAATAGCATTGATTTAAAGCACGGGTTTTGCAACAATCCACAGAATCGCAATCGGATGCGATGTCATTTAGGGTTCCGGAATCACATCTGCCCATATTTCATTCTTACCGTTATTTTAAAAAAAATTGCAGGACTTAATCGTTGCTGTAGATTACGGAGATTCGACCGCCTGCTGGGTACGGCAACACGTAGGCTTAAAATGTGTGACCTTGAAATAGGAAAGTCACTGTAGGTGTTATTAATGGTGGGAGTCATTTTGAAGGATGATGAACTCTATGGCAAGACAAAATATAGGTGTCGAGACGAATCCATTGATCTGATAACTGTCACCAAATTACCCCCGTAGGTGTAACCTCTCGGCCCTCGCTATCTTATTTTCGTGCGATCGGTTGAAAATGTTGGTCTTCTACCAATCGAATAGTTGTGGTTGGACTCTCGAGTGAGTGGTTTAGTCGACCGACTTAGACTGTCCAAACTGTACTGGTAAGGCCGCCGGCCAGTTCTGCCAGGTCGTGTTGTTTTCTGCTGGCATTCAGCGGACGCTAGTGCTGGCTCCGACTGAGGCCTGTTGTTCGAGGGTGTGCTAGTGATCGATGGCTAGAGCACCTTTTTTCATTGTGCTCGAAGATGTAGAATCAAGAGAACGGAGCCTTTTCAATGCTAAGAACGGGATTGAGCGTGCTTCGGGTTTCTCAATGTCTTTTAGCCGTTCAAATTAATTGTTGCGTTTTTTTCCTGACACTTGTGGTGATGTTTAAGCAATCGTCCTGGATTTTTTATTGTTCAATCGATACCTATTCTGTCAGATAACAACCTGTGTCCTATACGGCTTCTACCCAACGGATTCCATAACTTTGAACCACTGAAACGTACTTCTTTTGACGATGAAAACGCTCCGCTATGCCATTTTACGATTATTGGTTTGCGGTGGTTCAAATGCGCTCTGTTCCCAGGGGTTGGCTGAGGTATTGGCATATGTGTGGTGGGGAATTTTGTTCCCTTACAACCACCTTTAAGCGTTACTGTTCACAGCACAAAGCCACCGCGTTCACCACAAGCAATGGGCGGGATTGTAAGTTCCCTCACATCCGCCAGGGCTCTACAGTTGTTTCTAAAAATAACGACAGGTGCATTTGATTGTCAGGCGTGTTGCAGCAAACATCAAGTAAACATTTTTAATCCCTAACAATCACTGACCGCAAGATCCAAAGTTGAGGGAGTTGGCAAGATTCCCTAATTGCCGAGAAACTATGAGTTAGGACGCAGGCTTTGCATGGCACCAAGGAACAATTAATGAATTTTCTTGCATGAAAATGCTACCATCGATCATCGTAATGGTTTCACTAATGCAGAATTTTAAACATTGAGCACACTTGGTTTCAAGGCACAAATTTTCTGAGGTTGTATGTCCACGAATTTTTCAGTCTGAATGAATCCGCGATTGGCGCATCCAGCGCCTGGCCAAGGTGTCACATCGGTGGCCATCAAAAGTAAAACCAGGTAGAGTATGCATGAAGCTGATGGTGTCTAGCCGAAGGAAGGGGGGCTCCTGGAGTGATCACTGGCCTTAGTTTCACCACTGTTGTGCACTTCTCCCTTCCCTCCATATTTCAGTTAGGCATAAATTCGAGCCGTCTGCACACGCCGCCTAAGAGTCCTTGTTTGCACAGGCAACAGCCCTCCTAGAGTTTATTGGTTATGCATATCATCTTTCTCCACTTTCCCTTATTCTAATTTCGATTGGCGGATACATAAAGAATTCGTCCATCATATTTTGGATGCCAGAATGGATTCTGACATTTGGTTGCAGCGTAAGGGTAGCAGAGTCCGGAGGATGATGACAAAACACCATCTCTGTTGATGTCCCGTTCGTTTATGTACTTACGAAAGCAGTTTTCATGTTTTTTTTATTGAATCCCGGTGAAATATTGTAAGATGGTACTGTGTCGAATTCGTCAAATGAGGGTGCGTGCCGTGTTATCCTGTCCTATGAACTGCTCAAACATTCCAACTACTAACAAACAGCCAGTAAAATGTTAGCAGAATGATGTAGTGTTGGAATTTGGCTCGGCGTGCTGGACACTGAAGTAAACTACAACTAATGCATTTCAGTGCATTCTCGGCACTTGACTTTCTTACCGATCCCCAGCATATGAAGTTTTGAATGCTTGCCTATTGTGTTGTAATCGATGTTTGAAGGTTGTAGTGACTCGAGAACGAAGACAGGCGGCAGCGGACACGACCGCTTATTGGCGTCACGCCAGCCAGGTGTCCTGTGTGTGGATGAGTGAGCATCATTAGCAGGCGACCAGTGAGAAATATGGATGAGTCATTGACACTACTTGGTCTGCAAAAAAGCTTCACCCGCGCTATCGCTGGCAGCCCGCTGCAGCGTCACCAACGTGCTTTTGGCTGTAGTGTATTTTCATCGAACAATCGTGGCTGAAGCTCTTTCGCGAATTGGTCGAATGTCATCGATTGTCGATATTCACTCAAGCGCTGTGCTGTAAAAGACTTAGGTGGTCAAATGTGAATGAATCGTTACATTTGCTATCTTCTCTCTGGCCTTTCTTCTCGAGCTGTTACGGGTTGTCGACTAGCAGGGTTGCAAGGTAGTGCTAACGAGGCCGCTACATGTCCACTTCGATAAATTTAATCACTCAATCCTCTACCAGGAACCAGAGGCCACTTACTCGGACAACACAGAACGGCTGTACAAAAGCATGCGGGAGGCCCGCATCTGGCGGGAGGAACACCGTCAACAGCCAGTTGACTCGTCAGGCGGTGAAAAGGACGTCACCAAAGGGGGTGGTTGCAACCGCCTGCGCAACGGCCTCGCCACCGTACCCTCCGAATCAACTAGCTGCATGGACGCCACCGCAATGGCAACCTGGGGAGGAGATTCTGAGCGCGACGACAACGACATCGAGGACGACGACGATGACGCTGTGGCTGGCGAAGAATTCATCGAAGATGTCCCAAGCGTTGTTAGCTCCAGGAGCAGTCGAGCCAATAAGCGTTTTGTCACAGCTAGTAGCTGTTCAGGTATTTTCTTTGTTCCTTTCGTGCGGGCGTATGCGTCAAATGCTTCTGACGAGTAGTCTAATAATGCCTCCAGTGTTTTACGATGCGTAAACATACTTAACGCTGCCAGGAGGCACATGCCGCTTCCACTTCAACACAAAACACACTAGTACTGCGTAATCCTTTCTATGATCTTTATGGTTATTGGTACGTACCATTTGTTCTCATCCTAACATATTTCTGTTTATGTTATTGCAAAAACAACTAGTTGAATTCGATAAAAAAGTGTAAAATGTTAATTGCTAGTATGTACCTTGGTGACAGCCACTCATCAATATAGCAACTCTCTTATTTTCCGCATGGACTTTGGCTGCTAAATATTGATTACTTGCGGTCTAAATTGCCCTCTTAGGTAGTAATCTTTCCTGGTACAGGTCACTAACGGACGTTACCTCTTAAAAACGCTGCTTAGCAAGTTGCTTTATTATTACACCGTAGAAGTAATAAATGCAATACTAGTCCAAGGCCATCACTAATTATGCGAACTCCCGTCATATCACTGCTCCTGGTCAAGATTTCCCTCTTTTCTTTTATGATTCATTTATACATAGAAATTCGGGTTGTGCCCTGTGGTTATAGTGTTGTTGAGTAAAGATACATAACTAGGAGGTGATTTGTGCGATACAAAGTGTTGTCAAAAGTCAAAGTAAGTTCGTTTGGGGTGTCTTATAAGCGAACAGTAAGTGGTAATAGCTGCGTGATGATTCGAACTTAACGTTCTGTTTCCCGGTAGAGGTGGTGCTCGGGCTGCTTGTGTGACTATGGTAGCATTTTCCAGTATTAAAATATCATTTCTGCAGATTAATTGAAAAACCGGTCACAGCATTGTTGAAGGTGTCGTCGTGTTGCAACTTATGTGCAAGGAGGCGAATCATGGTTGAGGCAATTATGTACATGGGTTTAACGATAACCTTCACTGTAGATAGGTTGGCTTGGTATTCTATCCTTGTATGCATAGTTTTTTTGAAGTTTGTGAGTACATCATTTTGCTCTGGATCTAAGAACTAAATGCTAAAATCACTGTTGAGATTTCCATGCTGCGTCCTTCATTTTAACCATCGAACCCGCTGTATAGTTTCTAGTTTATCGAAGCGGATGGGTATTGCCGAGCTCCTTTGCTTTGTATTTTTCCGCTCTTTGTGGATTTTTTTACTGAGAATATTCATATCTAGACTCTCTATCAGTATTGGCGGTTTATTTGACTCGAAAGCACCACGGTGAACAGGGAATTTGGCTTTGTATTATGAAAGCACTAAATGATTTAAGCTCTTGATACGGCCACACTATTTTTCGTTACTTCAATTTGATCCTGTTTTGGGCTGCAAAAAAACTGGGGAAATGAGCTCTAAATGTCAGTTTTGTTGCAGGAAAAGTGTTCAAGAAGCGTCGCACTTCCAAGTGGATTGGTTTGCTTTGCTTTAAGTGGCTCTTCTGAGTAAAACAGCATTTACGACGAACTCTGCAGTGTTGAAGTTTTAACTTGATTTCGCTTTGTCCTCCTCTCTGAACAGGAACCGACGGAGGCGGTAACACCCCGCGTGACTGCCTCGCTGTTAACACGAACCCGCATGAATCGAACGGCGTGATCAGTCTGCCACATCTAGGTCACAGCCCGTCTCCTCGTACTGGTGGTAGCGGTGGCCGTGGTGGTGGTGCGTCCAGGGCCGCAGCAGCAGCTGCTGGGACCAGCACTTCGAACCGTCTCCGCCATCCACCTCCTCGGGTCATCCGTCCCACTCGGACTGAGCTCAACGGCGCATCGGACCTCGTCCCCTTCGAGCAATATCTCACGAGGCCCCTCGCCACCAGTACGTTTCTTGTGGTCATGCTCGCTTTGCCTGCCACCTTTTCTGATAGGGTCTTCGTCATTCGTTTTTCCCTCCTGCTCTACGTTGGCGCTAGTTAGCCAAGAATGGTTTTTTTCATTTGTGCTTTGTGGTCTAATGCGTCGCCTCCAGTCATCATGCTTTTGACGTGTGCCAGTCAGTGCTGTCTGGCCTCACGCTACAGTGGAGCCACATAAACACTACCAACGTGGTAAATGGAGTTCGTATGCTTATGTCGTCATGTGCTGTAAATCTAAGGCACCGGCAGATGTGCAGTACGGTTTTTGTAAAGCGCGTTCTTCACGGCTAGGTTTTGTCATTTTTTATGCGGTTAGTTCACCTCGTTCTTCGACGCAATTCTTGCTTTTCAGGTGACAAGATCAGTCTTACCCGCTCCCCAAACAACACTTGATCGTTTCCAAAACCTTCAGATAGTGTCGTAGCTGATCGAATGTGCCTCACAATTACCATCGTTGAGCCGAACCATAAACGCATGATCACATTTACCACTGGTCTTTATCAAAGGCTAATCTATAAGGTGTATGACTTAATTTTTACCGATTGTTCTTCGCTATCTTTTGCGATTTGAAAGGATCGGATGCAAGGTTCCAGAACACCGAACGGCAAGACTACGTGAGTTACATAACCTCTCAGAATAGCAGAGTTTGCGATAGCAACTGTCAAACAACACATTCGATGGCACTGCATTTTATGCGATTTTGAACAAGGAAGAAGTGCTTCTAAAGCAAGCCAATCAATTTGTAGTGTTCTTGGTGTCGACTTTGTGTCTTTGAAACGTGTAATTATTCGTACAAACGCTTCGGAAGTTGTGATTTCGGTCTTAGTGACCCGCTGCTCCCCGGACAGCGGCCTCGAAAGTTTGAAGATACGCCTTTGCAAGCTCTTCTGGATGAAGATTCAGTGCAAACGCAAAAGGAGCTTTCAGTACTGGCAGGAGTCACCCAAACAGCCATTTTCATGCGTTTGTACCACCAAATGGAAATAATTCAAAAACTTGGAAGCTGGGTCTCCTCACACGTATTGACCTAACTCAATTTAGGTCAACGTATGAACACACGCCCTTCACTTCTTGCTCACTGGCAACAAAAAATAACTTGTGGAAAGTCGTGGCAGGTGATGAAAAGTCTATTTTGTACGATAATCCAAAAGAAAAAGTCGACGCCAAAACATAACGTCCGGTGAGGAAAGTTCTCCATGTTTATTTGGTGAGCCATGAAGGGTGCGCTTTATTACGGACTGGAAACTGGTGGTTAGACGGCCACCGCGAAACGCCGCAGCCGACAATTGAACAAACAGAGCTATGAACTTGATGAGAAAGGGCAAGTAAGCAGGCAAATTGTGCTGCTGAATGACAACGTTCGACTACTTCACGTTGCTCGCACGACTCAGAAGACCCCTTGAACTTGGGATGGAGAGTTCTCCCACACGCGTCATATTCACCAGACTTGGCCCGCCTTAGCGGATAAACAGCTCAAAACGCTGGGGACGGTGTGCGTAAAGTCGTCGTCGATGAAGACTTGGTTGCCTCAAAGCCTGCAAGTTCCTTTCGCGACGGCATTCGTACATTACCCGGGAGACGGCGCAGGATCATGGTAGACGATGGAATGTGTTTTTAAGATTAATTTCGTTGTTCTCCACTTTACGATATTAAATAAATTTGCTGAACAATCGGTAAAAAGTAAGTCATACACCTAATACATTGCAACGGAGATTTGCCTTGTCGCGAGTAAATTGATCAGGCACACCGCCCATCTGCCTCTTCGTTGTGGCCTGTTTCTTGCGATTGCCCTATTTAGTTTGCGCTAAAAGGACTTGGTTTCTTTAAAACACAGTTTGGATGTGTTTGTTTGTGTTTCCATTTTCGAATTTTATTTTTAGATTTACCAATAGTCTTTCGTTTGTTAATTGTTAGAATTAGCCAGCCTCGAGTTTAAAGTGGAGCAGCTTTCCCAGACCTGTCAGCTTTTGGTTACCGAGAATGCCCGTCTCAACTCCGCTATGTGTGTCCTCCTGGCCAATCAACGTCTGCCTCCGAACGCTACTACCCCCACCGCTGACTGGTCAACTCATCCACACAATGGTGATGTGTTTGCCACACCGCCCATGCTGTCAGTTCCAACGGCTGGGCTCTTTGCGTCGCCGACGCCGCATTTTCGACCGCCCGCCTTGGCACCCGAAAGCATCAGTGGCGTCTCGTCTGTCCGCTCACTAGCTCCTGCCCCCCCTACTCCCACCTTACAACAGCACAACTCACCATCGGTCGAGAACGCTTGGGACCAAGTTCAGGTAAATAAAAACGAAGCAGACTCAAGATCCGGTAGTGACCGTGTGCTACACTTTTTATGTGGCAGATTTTCACAACGCACAGCATATTTGGTAGCTATTCTGAGACTAAAACGGCGTTCGATTCGGGCAACCCCGTTCGTTGTATCAATCTAGGTACAGTCGTAATCCCTTTAATAATAGGAGTCGTGCCGCGAAAACGATGTAAGCTCATAAGCCAACAAAATTGTGCAATTCCTTTTAGATGCTTAGAGCTCAGGTAACGGAACAAAACTCGCGCCTGAATCAACTTCAAAGCGAACTTCACCTAGCGCTTCAAAAGCAGCAGCAGCAGCAGCGCTACTCAGGAAGTGGTGAGGCGGTCATTGGTACCAACCATCACTTGGCGTCGTCATCTGGTATTCCCGATTATCAGCCGCCCGCGGTATTGGGACCGACCTCTGCTCTCGCCTCGCTCCTGGCCCTTCAGCAAGCTGTTGCTGATGTTGCCACTAACCTCCAGTCGCGTCAGCCGGCCACCGCAGCGCGTAATCCCACCAAAACCGCCTGGCCCCCCGTTCCGCCGAAACCGTAGCACCCTCTGTCCTGCATGTGGGTCGAGTTTTAAATCTACTTACCCTAGAATTGAGGCCGTTAAATGGTCCTCGGTGCCGTATGCTTCAAAGTCGCATTCATTTTTTCGCTCACAAAGAGAACGCAACCGGATTAGTTAGCAGTATGATCAGTGGGTGGTTGATGCGCGGACTAGGTGTCCACCATTGCCAATATATTTTCATGCTTTTTTTTCTACTTTTACATATATAGTCGTTTAGCTCTAGGTATTACTTGGCTCCTTGAATGTTGGCTTGGAGACGTCCAGACCATCCTCCCGATTTGCCGTTAGTGTTTTGATGACTAGCTTTTAAACAGGTAGAGGCAGCTATCGACACGAATGTCGTGCGTCTCAGGCTTTCGAGACCTAATACGTTTTCTTTCTTATTTTTGCCCTAGTTTTCCCGCAAATTTCGACGCTGCGTTTCAACAGCAGTCACCAAATCGCAGGCATTTTGTCGCGATCTCAGTGTAACGTGACCCAGTTCATATCTCTATTCCCCTTCTTCAACCCCGTTTTTTGACCTGATGACTTCCATATCTTGCTTGACGTTTTATTAGTTTGTAAACTCCTGCATTTCATCCACGAAAAATGCATTAACACCTCGTGATCATAACGCCAAGGGTTGTATGCTTCGCTCACGACGATTCCCTTCCCTGAATAGGGAATGTAGCGGGTCAACCGTCATTGCAGTTTGCCGAGTACATTTCCAACCCCCACTGTTACATTAGCTGGTATGTTTTGAGTTTAATGGGCAATAGTACACAGTAAAACCGTTTTCTTGCTTATATAAACTGGTTGGTGAGCATCCAAGTAGGTTGCATACGATTCCTGAAGTCCAAACACTTGTGGACGTGGTTGGATGTCCATTTCCATAACCTATTTGACACCGGCTTGAGAGCTTAGATAGCGAGCCCGTGAACACCCATGAGACGACACAAATGGCCTAATTACGTGGTATCACATAAACAAAATGAAGCAAATTAAACGTGTATTCATGGGAAATCAGAAAACGCAAAGACTAGAGGTACATAGGGAGATAGGGGGCGCGTTTGGTGCGCACGGACTCAGTGCATTTCCTTTGATTGACTGTCGATCTAGGCGTCTGAAAGTGCAGCCACGCCAGGTAAATTCTTCCCCTCCAGCAACTCCAAGCTGGCGCCACCGCCGGTGCTCACGTGGCTGACCTTCGACTCAGTGTGCCACTTGGCACAGCAAGTAGCCGTGTCGCCGCCACCTAAAAAAGACCATTTTCGCGGCATGAAAATTTGTTTCCCCCAGTAGATGGACGTTGGAACCGGTGGTAGACCTCGTCAATGGTAGAGAACAAAGCTCACCTATAATTGTAATAGCTCCCTTAGCAGTTGCATCCACAACGGCATCCATAACGGCTTTCGTGCCCTTCGCGAAATTATCCCATTCGAAAACACCGGCAGGGCCATTCCAAATGATGGTCTTCGCACGGCCGATGGCCTCAGCGAACTCTTTAGTTGAGTTCGGTCCACAGTCAAGGCCCATCAAGTTATCGTCAATGCCTGATTGAACCGTCGCTGTGCCAACAGCAGCGTCCTCAGCGAATTTGTCGCCGGTGACGAAATCTGACGGAAGATGAACTTTGACGTTTTTCGACTTGGCCTTTTCCATGATATCCTTTACGGTCTTGGCGCCAGCCTCATCAAACAAGCTTTTGCCGATTTTCATATTATCAAGAACTTTAAGGAAGGTAAAGGCCATTCCGCCGCCAATGATCAGCTCGTCAACCTTATCCAACATGTTGTTGATTAACTGAATCTTATCCGTCACTTTAGCACTAAAGGAAAAATTATCCGATGTAGTGAACAGTTATAAAATGATAACCAAGAAAACTTGACATACCCTCCAAGAATTGCAAGGAATGGTCGCGTTGGGTTCTCAAGCGCCTTTGCGAAGTATTCCAGTTCTTTGTTCAGCAAGAAACCGGCAGCACGTTGTGGAAGCTTACACCCGACCATTGACCTGACAAATAAGCACTTATACTTTACCCGAACGTCTTAAGAAAAGCAAACTACATAGCATGAACATACGCGTGGGCTCGGTGGGCCGTTCCAAATGCATCATTGACATAAACGTCGCCCAAAGCAGTCAGGCTCTTGCTGAATTCTTCGACCTTAGCTGGATCAGCCTTTACCTGCAGAGGTATCAAAAAATTTTTTAGCAAAAAAGTTCCGTCCTTAGCAAAACAGTTACCTTATATGGGCTAAAATAGTTTAAGAATTTCGAACATAAATACAGGCACTGATCGAGTTTAAGACGTCAGGTACACATTTTTGTTACACCTACTGGGCCATCTTTCCGATAAGGAATGAAAAAACAGAATATTCAAAACTGCTTGCACGTATCACGACCATCAGCGCTGTTGAACTCAGAGTTTATGACGTGATAAAATGTACCTTGTTGCCACTGGCATCTAATCCTTTGCCCTCCTCTTCGACATGGAAGCGCAAGTTCTCTAGAAGGAAAACTGTCCCAGGAGCAGGATCCTTGCAAGCCTTTTCTGTCTCAGGTCCAACGCAATCACTTAAGAATGTGATCGACTTTCCTAACTCCTTCTCTACGTCCGGAACAATCTGCTTCAATGAGTACTTCATATTTGGCTGACCATCCGGGCGACCCATGTGAGACATCAATACAACGCTCTTGGCACCTTTCTCAAGAACATGTTTAACAGTTGGCATAGCAGCAGCGATCCTTTGCGTGTTCGTACATTTTCCATCTTTCATTGGGACATTGAAATCGACCCTAATCTGTAAAAGTAAATCTCTACACTAACCTCATCAACACACGCTTGCCATTGACATCGAGGTTTGCAACACTTAACTTTTTCAGACCCATGGTAGAAGCGGAAAAATACCGAAGAGGCAGAAAGACAAGTCACGTACGCACCTAGCAGGAAACGGCGGGAATTGGAATGCTTAACGATTTCGGCCTTGAAGTTCGTAATTGATGGTTTAAAGCAGCAATCGATACTGCGAGAAATTTAATTCACACTTATCAGTACTCCATTAACTAAGACATCATTAAAATTGCTTGTCATTGTCAAATCTATTATAACATATCTAGAATCAAACTCCGTACCCTATAAATCTGAGAAAAAATGTTAAAATGCTTTTGCTCTGTTTAAACGGGCTACCGTGTGTTTTCAGTTCAATACATAAGCATAAATTTCTCTTAACTAGTTTCGTAAACATGCAAATGACCGCAATCGCTCATGTAACACGATTGAGCAATTAGTTATATTTTGCAACATTAACTATTTTATGTGATGTTTTTCAATGCCATGATACCTTTTGTCTATGGATGGAATCAACATTTTGAAAACAATTCTTAATGATTCACGACTATACTAAAACTCAATGTTTGAAATGAAGTGCATTTATGCTCGATTAATGTGAAAATTTTCTCATATTTGACCTGCAAATGAAATCTTAAATTTTCCAGTCGAAATTTATCAGCTGCATAAAGACTTTCGTCTACAAATCTACAACAGTTGTCCATCAATTGCTTCATAAATTTTTAACGATCTTATTACAGAATATTGGCTGTGCTTACGAACACTAAAGTTTTATTATCATACCACCTTTTATTTGCAATTGTTAGATTCATAGTCACAGGTTACAGATAAGAAAATTGGCATTTAATCTATCTGAGGTTTTTTAAAGGCGTGCAATTCACCATTAAAAATTCCTGTGAGCCCATTGACCGTGCAAGACCTTAAACAGCCCATTGCCGTACATTTTTGCATTCCTCAAACCTAGAAATGTCAGTAAATGTGAATGCAATGTATTTCTGTCGATAATTTAATTTTTTTAAGACCGAACCATTGTAATGCAACATTTTTATTTGTCAATATTCACAGGGAAGAATTTTGGATTAGTGTTACAATAAAATTTGCAACATTGGCCATGTTAGGCTGATTTATTAATTGTTTCGGTTCTGATTTATGCCATGTGTCACTTACAACTTCCAAAATTGTAACGCTACACATTTGACCAAAGCACATCGGTCTGCCTTCCAAAGGTTGTGCCTGTAGGTCTGGCCGCAACCATATTCACCCAATGTTCATTTTTTCGATAACCTCACTCTAACTTTGTCCATAAGTTATTTCAATTCTGTCGATGTGTGGAGTTGTCTAAAATACATAACGTTCCTCCAGCTACTATTTTGTCGCATGCCTGGTAGTTAACAATGGTGTTGCAACTGTGCTTTAGAGACCAACATATAGCACCCAACACTAAAAGATCTCAGCGAGGTAAACACAATTCAAGGAGGTTAGTAGTAAACGTGATGAACTCTATTCAACTTTGCTTAAAGTTTGATGCTGAACATTCCCCACTTACTCTATTTATCATAGTATTATTCTTTGAAATAACAGCATTGTCGTTTTTGAATTGTCCTATCTGTTTTTTATTCTTCATGGCAAATAAGTCAGAGATGGTGTTTCGACGTCAGGATATGTGTTCAAAATATCCTTATTCAAAACACTAAGCCCTCAAAGTCGCATTAATCTGGAACTTACAGGAAAAAAATTCCGTTTCACATACAAGCACTTCTCACCATCCGTATTATAAATACGCATTTAGTTTAAGAAACAATTATTTCCATTAACATAAATCAAATTTGTTTGCATTAAGAAAGGGTTCCATCACTAAAAACTCATGTGCGGGAAGTGCTGGATTAGTCGCAGGGGATTTTTTATAAGTTGTAATTGCCATTTACTTTAAACTCTAGAAATTAACCGAAGTGAATATGAAATCAACCTATATAATTATGAAAAATGTAATAATAATGCGATATGATATTAAACGAATATTTAATGTGAAGTGCTATATAGTGCTAATTTCTTTTTAAGTATAAAGCAACCTATGCAAAAATCTTTTCAACTAAATATTTGTTCCCTTATTCTACTCAAGATTAATATTGTTCAGCCCGTCGGCCGTTTTCATTGGTTCCTGTTTGGTCTCATGCCTGAAGCTCGCACTTGGCGAATAGATGAATAGAGATGAGGGTGAATTTACGGGTGGGTGTTGGGATCGCATCCCGGAAACATGCATTCGCTTCCACTTGCCTTTTCAGCATCTCTGCCGCAAATGCTATTCAATTAACAAAAAGATAAGACGTGAAACTGAACTTTATAATCAATCCGCCGAAGTTCATCTTCATCGAACACTAAGAGCCACGCTAAACATATATCAAGGTAAAATGCCCGGTTCTGATTTTTCTTGTTCAGACCCATCACAATGTCATACATGGGAGAACTTTAAAAGAGCCGCTGATTTGCTCGCAGATATGCATCGTAGGGCAAAGGTGCGGCTGGAGGGCGTCTTCGCATCATCATACCTCAGTGGTGACATCTCATTCTCGAAGAAGTTTCTTTACCAGTTTGGAAGTATTCTGCAGAACTCCGAATTTAGATCAGGTGATAGGGTATGTTATAACGTGCTACAGTTTTCTTCAACATCGTTATTCAATTTTTAAATGGTTAACGTCTGAAGTATGCCTACGAAATGATGCATCTGCTAGGGCTTGTTGTGTTTACAAAGGAGGTGGTGACTTGCAATGTTTTACTTTTTCTATAACAAGGAAAAGACCACCCACCCATGAAATTTCTGCAATTTCCCGTGTTTTTATATTCCACGGATTGTTTGATATTGTTACTGAACCCAGCTCCACTGTATATGATTTAAAATAATGAATTAAGGCACAAGTGCTACATTTTCATGGGTTCTATGTTAACTTGATCATATCGGAATCACGTAATTTAGAAATTTGGTATTTTTACGATGCCATTGGAAAACCCTTTTTTCCACCGTTTTTAATGCTTCTTTATTACGAAGTATCGTTAATAATCGTTAAAGTTTCGATAAATCGCAACCTTTTGCTAATCCAAAAAATGTTGTTATCTACTAGACTAAAAACGCAGTTCTGGATAAGCTTTGTGCCTAGGAAAATCCGGTGTTATGACGTGGGAGGGTTTTGGCTTTATGCAATAACTGCGCGTTTTCATCTGGATTACCTTATAGGTCACGGCGCTTCAGCCATTTGTAATCCCTAAGTTCTGGGCTAGGAGATCAGTGTGCAAGTAAAATTTATGCGAATTTATTTCAAATTCTTTGTTATTGTGAGTATCCTTAAACATAAATCGTTTACGCTCATGTACCGATGGTAATCGCTTTCAGTGAACTTCACCTATTACCATAACTCCACTGCTAATAACTTATACTGAACTGTTTTGCTGTAGAAGGTCGTGATAATTCACGCCTGCCATCTCTGTTGACGTGTCAATTCAGCCCCGTTTCTCAGCACCTCATTTTTTTAGTGTTTACTCGTTTGAGCATGCGCTGTTTGCGCATATCATTCTTCTATGTCTATGAATTGTAAATATAAACAAACTTTCACAGCTGAATTCCGGGGTACAAGAGTATTAATGCAAATAACTCGCACAAATATGCGTTCGTACTGTATTTAATTAATTTTTTTCTGCACTTAGGTTGCTGGCACTTTGTTGTTGTATAAAATATAAACTCCTTGTGACTCATTTACTGGAAATAAGTGGCGTGTCCATGCTTCACATGATGTGATAACAGTATATCTTTTTGTTCAGAAGACCAGTCTATCTTTTTAGTGAATTCTACTTTGCCTTAAAATTCGTGTTGCCGATGGTTTCGGTTAGCGCACACACTCTCAATTTGTGGTTGGCCTATGTTTAAGCTGTTATCAGTTTTTGGTTTTTAAATTGGTTGTATTGCAACTGTCTTGATTTATCTGGAATTGTGCTCATACATCTGTAACTCTTTACGGCTGATTTACCACCTGTGTAGTCCATGAGATCACCCTTTAGTTTTGAAGATTATTTAATCATTATAACAATCAAGTGCGTTGCTTATTAACTTTAGTTGAACTAGTGCAGGTAATGTCGGTTTTTAGGTTCTTGCTGCTTTCATTTTCTTTTAAAGACTTGTTTATTCATAAATATCCTCGACTTCTACCTTCCCTTAACTCCTACCTTGTTAGCCAGCTTGGTGCAGTAATCAAGAAATAGTTGTACGTTCTCATAACAAGACAAGTTCGAAAAACGACCAAAATATTTCAGTGCATTCGACACCATTTTTAGGCATTACCCGAGGGCTTGCTGCACCCTCTTTTATGCAGTTCTTCTGATCCACCCCGTGGTGCGTTCGTGTGTAAAAGGCGAATTCTGCGGGTTCCTCGTCGTCGTCGCCAGACTTTAACGTGTCCTCTATCTGCATCTACTACTGCCTCAATACCTACGTCCGTACTTTGTTCTCAGGAAGACGGGGAGACAAACGAGAAACGGACCCATGTAACCAAATGCGAAGTTAAAAGTCCTACACAGCCATCTTGTTTGACAGAGACAGCCTCTCATTCTGATGAATTTTGTTGTTGCAGTAGTTGTAGCAGCTCCTCGTCCTCGCGAGCTTCCTCTTGTTCCTCCTCACCATCTTCCGATGCTGATCATGATTAGGGAGATGTCCCCTTAAAGCGCTCTCCGAAGTTCGGTCTTTCCTAACTCCATCTACTTTGTGCCCACCCTTTCACAGCTAGTGTATTCAAGTGACTTTTGATTTTTATCCCGAGAATCAAAATAATGCAGTCAAGGTGATCTTGTTTTAGTATCTATCAAGTTATGGAAGGAGACCTGGTCATGCAATGCCCCGAAATCTAATAATTCCAAAGTGAAGTATTTAAAGGGAAGTTGATTCAAGATTTTGGAGGCGCAGAAATTTTCCAAGACAACAATTTAGGTGAGAAAATGAGCACACGCCAAGACCTGACAGAAATGCGGAGAAGCTATGAGGTTGATAAGGAGGGAGGAATTTTGAGGAGCCGACCAGGTGTCAGCTCGTTCTCTAGCTCTTCACAGAGTAGGGCTCACAAAACTAATGCATTTGAGAATTCACCTGACTGTTATGCTGCCATTCAAGGTAATAGATTATTTAATGAGGTGAAGCAACGTCAATATCAAAAAGTAAGTTTTGAGAAACGGAGATTAGATTACTTCTGGAAACAAAGACTGTATTTACCCAATAACAAAGTTCTTAAATAAACTAGAAATTAACAATTGTTTTTACAGTTTACTCAACAGCCGAATTTATACGTCTTCATTGTTCTCATTTATTTGCAAGTCAAGTGTTTTGCCATTTATTTTTCAGATTATTACGGCTAACTTTTCAATGTTAATATATAAATGCTTTTTTAAAAAACATACATGGAAAATTCCAAACATTACAGAATGTTTAAAAATAGCTATATTCTTGTTTATACTTTTCAAAGGTTATTCGCGTTAAGGCCGCTTTAGGTTGCTTAAAGTTCCTCTCATGCTCCTTATCGGCTCATTGGTTGATTTGCGTGTGCCCTGTCTTATCCTTTTTTCTGTTGGGAGCACGTCGTGAGTGCATGAGGTCTATTATAGTAATGCCGAAGTTCATTGGTTCCAATTATTGATATAATTGTGCACATCACTCAGTCTATGGTGCTTTTAGTCGTTTGTGTTTTCCTACTTGGTGTCGTACTAATTCCAAATTATTAATCCCATTAAAGGCCCTCCGCATTATGTATATGTAAAACTACGAAGTTACATAAGTCTCCTTTAGTTAATAAACACTTCCAGTGATAATTTGCTACACTCGCTCTCTTATCCAGATGTTGTTGGCTACTGTTATGGTGTTTAGGGACTACCTGTGTAAGCTCTCACATTCGTAAGTTAATGTCTGTAGTTTAGCAAGGCTGTATTTATTACTAGGCGCTGTTTCTGTCCTGCACCCTGTTTAGATAATGTTTATAGACGACGTAACCGAATGAAATCCTTCTTTGTGGTTCCCACCTTACCTGACCGTAGATTCTTCACATGTGTTTTATTTTGTTATTCTAAAAGTAGTCTCACTTTGACATTTTTTGACTGGTAATTAAAACTAGCCGTTTGTTTGTCTTGTAGCAGTTATTCTTTGCATTTTGGTAAACCTGTGGTCTTTGGGTCATATCCCAACTTTTCTTGAGTATTTAGGTTTTGGTACCAACAGTAACTATACGATCAATAGTTGTCGAAAAAATGAATTATGGTCTCAGTGGTAAATTCGGTGTCATTAGTGTGAAATTTGGGCCCTGTGTTTTGAGGCTGGCTGGAATAACCAGCTTTACCGCATTGTCGGGCTACATTAAATTGTTGGCTTGTTTGCTGATTTTTCGATAGTACGGTGCATAGGAAAACGAATGAATCAGCTTTCTGCCATCGTATATTACGCCTTACAAGTTTACTAACTTATTTTTACTGAGATTATACTGAGACCCTTATTGTTTTCAAGCTGAATTATCGTTGTTTGAAGCAATGTCCTGTATACCTGGCTTCTAGCAGTGTTTTTTTATGTTAAGAAGACTTGGTTTTTAGCGTACCCAGTGAGCAATTTTAATCCTTTAAATTAACAAACATCCTCAGTCAGTGTTTTTCCTCCATCATGTTTGTTGCAATCTTACTGTAGTGCTGATAAGTGCATTTCTGACTCTGGTTTTTATTTGCTTTTCAAACTACGTTATTGATATGCAGGAAATTCTTGTAGAACTTCCGTAAATTCCAGCCAAACTCGCGAATGTATGTGTGCGCTTGTATGCTCTGTTCTCGTACGAAACACTAGCGACATGTTACACTAATGTGCAAGTCACATCGAACTTTAAATTGTCATGACAGCCTAAAGTACCACATGAAAGCAGACATCAGATTTAATTAGTTTTTTTCTCAGTAAACGCCATTTAAAATCGCGGTAAGGGACAGCCTGTGTTCCATGTAGTCTTCACCTGTTATATGCCAGCAGTACTTTCGTGACCTTCAGCTCGAGTTCGAGTCGATATTTGGTTATGTACTTGGCTGTTCGGGTTTTTGCTTTGTGAGCAATGAAGATTGTCTTTTTGGTAGAACATGCTCCACTGTGGCTGACGGTAATGAAAGCCCTTGAGTGTTGTTTTGGTGTTTGTGAAGAAACAAGTAAAGTAACACCACGAGACGTGACATTCTTTGGAATGCAGACATTTAGTTGAAGAATTATCTAGTAAATCTCAAAAAAGGACATTTAACCAACAAGCGATGCTGCTAATTACTAATCTGGTCAAGGCAATGGCCATGAAGCTTTTGTGCTCGATATCTTGATTTGCATTATAATTTTTCCAATTACAAAATGCTTTCGTTTTGGTGTTTTGGAAGTTATAGCTGGGTTTCTTAAGTTTGGTAAAACACAGATGATGTTCACTTCATTCACATGTAATTAATGCCGCGTCCTCTTTGTCCATGCTATTTACATTAAAGCTTACTTATAGACTCGAGAGCGTAGGTGCAGTTATTCGCCGTCATTCTTTCTAAATGTCATTCAAGCTTATCAGCGCAGGATTTTTAAGGAATTCGTAAACGATATAGTGCCCTGGGATACTAGAAGTTAAATTAATTTGCCTTCTTTTATGATTGCAAATGCGGTGTTAGGTAAATTTTACTATGGTGGCGCAATTCAGACATCCAAGGCGTTTCATGGGATAAAGCCCGGTCCCTCCAAAAAGCAATTTTGGGAACTGGGCTTCTGTACCTGTCGTTTCATTTCCAAAGTCCTCTAACGGGGGTTAGCTTTACTTTTTAGCATTTCTTTTTTGCATAGACAGCTTCTGCTTTGAAAAAAAGGTGAATCTTCAAGCTTGGGATTTCGAGTAATCGGCTTGTTCACTTTCTAGTTTTGCGTTACAATGGGACGCAAAAAAATTGACATAAAGAAGATTAACGACGAAAAAACCCTTCTGGTGACCTTCGCCAAGCGAAAGGTTGGCCTTTTCAATAAGGCCTTCGAGTTGAGCCAGCTTTGTGAATGCCAGGTGGCCATCCTTATCTTTACCAACAAGAACCGGTTGCATAAGTTTGCCAGTCATGACCTCGACAGTATCGTGAAGCGCTACAATGAGGAACCAGAATGCGGAGAGCTCACAACGAGCGAACACATTATTAAGGTATTTACTTTTCTTAACATTTTTGCATTCTTTTACGGCCTTACTTTGGGTGCGTTTCAATAGATCAGTTGCCCTCTATTTTGCTGTTATCCTCACCTTAATTAGACCATCGATTTCGGCAGCACTAGGTCATTTCTTATGCGAGTACCGGTTTTAGTTCTGGTTGGGATTGGAGCGCGAAACGCCCTTTCATTCAAGAGTTAAATGGACCAAGTCTGCCACTTTATTTTTCTCGAACTAATATTTAAACAACATTCAGCTAATATCATCCATATTGTCCGGAGTAATTCCTCGTTCTTGTCTTTAAGTAAACTCTTCGGCTCATTAGCAATGACTGAATCTATAGGCTCTCTGGTTTAAAATGTCAAGCTTTAGCCTAGGTATGGTAGATTTTTATGTAGCATTAGTGGCTGCCATGTGTGGGCCATTTGGCGCTTTCATCCAAAACGAAAGGTTTCTGGTTTTGTTGCACTGCAGCGATTTTTCCATCTCTCTGGTCATGACCTACTTCGGTTTTAGCGGCGCGAAAAGAAAAAGCAGTCCAAACTGTCACAGTCGGATGAAAAAGCCCTGGACGGGCAGTACTCTCTGAACTGCGGAGGAGGAGGAGGCGACAGTGACTACGATGGACCCATCGACGACGAGGCATTACGCACCACCGCTAATTACGGCCACCTGATAGTCCACTCCGGCCTCCCGCAGCACAACGAGGGCCTCCACTTAAAGCCCGTCTTCGCAACAAGCAGCGGTGAGGAGCAGGCGGTTGTAGTTCAGATGGGTTCTCAGTTGGAGGTATTTGCTTCCCCCCGCTTTTTGATATTTGCAATTTTCAGCGCAAATGTAAAGAGATCTACGATTTTGTAGCTCTACGATGTTATCATGCAATTGTAATTAGTACTGCTAAGGCTTTAACACAGCAATCTTGCATAAATTGTATTATATTTATCGCTGGGATTTTGCTGCCTTATATAATCACACCCAAAGATTGCTTTTTCGTAAATGAACTTATTTTTTTTTAGAATTGTACATATGTTGATCCCAGCTTCGTCCAATCCTATGGTGAGTTGTTTAATTCATAAAACTTTATCTTTTATTGCTGTATGGCTGTGTTAAAATGTGACTACTTCCATCCAGCTTCCGGCGAATACATTGCCTGTCGAAGAGGTCCCACACTTGTGGTTAAAACTGTAGTTGACATCTGGGGGTCACACGTAAAATTTCCACTCTTCTGTATAGTGAATATTTTCACCAATAGGCTCTTAGGCGCTATTTTTGTGGACACTTGAACGATCCTAAATCCCTCGACTAGGTCACGGTTTGTGGCCCTGTTGTTTCGTCTAAACACCAACTGGAATAAAATCACATTAAACTGGGCTGTTGTAGGCTTGTTTAAATGTCACGTCGGTGTCACTGGTGGTGTATTTTGCGTTCTATAAAAAGCGTCCCCCACTTGAAAGCAAACTACACCGGAATTTGAAGAGGCTTTACGATTTCTCGCGTAGATATGCCAGTCAGTCGGTGCTCTGTCTCATGTCTTCAAGCCGTTTTTTCTTAGCCAAAGTGTACTGCTAACTAGCGCCTGACATCCCCCCCCCCGATCACGTGTATTTTATGCATTTTGTAGACTTTGACTCTACCGTTAGTTTCAATGCGAACGATCCTACTGTACCTCAACTCCATCAGGGCCTAAATGGGCAGATGAACTGCAAACTTCCCACAGGTAAAACCGCTTTTTCGTGCAACGTTATCTAATGATTTTTAAGGGTTTACGGAACAGTGGGCTGATTTGAGCGTGTTCCAGCGATAACAAGCTTATATGTAAGCGTCGCCGAATACTCTCGCTGTCCGCGGTGAATCGTCACCAGGATGTAGTAATTTGCTACACTCTTAAGCTATCGTTGAGTCACACAGGACGGTGAATTTGTCTTTGTCCGTGGTCGCCATGACTGGAGCTTTGTGTTCCCGTTGTTTCTGTATACTTAAGCGGGCCTTGTGGAATCCACTTTACCCAGCTGGCGTCCTCCATCATGCGGTGGAACAGTGCACCAGTGATTTAGCGGGGAGCAAAGAAGCCTAACAATGAAAATCTTAATCACACAATGTATAAATTGCTACTAGGTAAATTTTCAACGGTGACTGTATTCCATTAGTCATAAAGGTGTCCACCACTGGTGATGCTACCGTCATTTAAGGCTTAAAAAAATAGAATTGTTTGTGCCTTGAATAAGCGTCAAATGGGAATAGTCCTGCATAGTTTGTTGTCTGTTTCAGCCAATGGGAATTCCAGGTGGCGTTTAATTGGGTGGTTTTAAGAATCAGGCTTGAAGGCCACACACTATCGAAGGCCGAAAATCTTACACAAACTATTGCTACCTGCGATAGCATGAAAGCACCCTTTTTTGTGTTCGTTTTTATGAATTTGCATCAAGCAGGGTTGTGTCAATTGTGAGAGTTCTGAAACTCCTCAACGGAAGCTTATTCCAACCGTCGGTGCGCCCGTGTGTTTGCAATTTGCTGCCTGCTATTAGGCAAACGGATGTCTGCACAAGTATTGTGACTATGTGGTAAGGTAAACTTACCTCATAAAATTTCGTTTTCACTTACGTGCGAAGAGCATTGTTTTGTAGTTCTTGGGGTGGGAAACAGTACCTGGGGGTACGGATTTACCGATTCATATTCTACCTACACGAGTTCATTTCGCTTACCTGTTTAAAGCTGTATTACTAACCGTGCTGGTTTATGTTTCCCATCATCTAAGAGATTCATTTCCTTTCATTCTGCCAGCGCAAAGTGTCGCCGAAGCAAATGAACACCCCCCTGTGCTTGAAACCCAAAAGAAAAGCCCATCAATGTGTGAGGTAGCGAGTGAAGAGCTTGTTCTACCTAACAGCGACATTGGACTGTGTACGAATTCCCCGAATCCCTCCAACGAATCTGCCACTGAGGACCAGTCGCCATCGCGTTCTTTGCACAAAAAACTCTCAAAACGGGTTTGTTTACATTCTGTTACGGAACTTCCGAAAGCTAATTCTGTCCTTAACGTTTGGCCATGCATTCTTGGTTTCTTTTTGGCTGTTGATATGTAACCTCAGGCAAAATTAAGGCACTCAACTGTTTTAGTAGTTGAATGTTTTTTTTTGAATTTGGGGTTAATTGAATTGCATCATTCCTGAAGAAGCGGGCTGTTCGTGGGGAGTGGTTACACGCAAATTATCCCACTACGCGCCATTGACAGCAGGTTCATTTGCACGCCTTGCTTTCAAGAGTTCTCCCGTGTAACCATTGCAAGCAGCACCGTGTCGGACAAAGCGCTCGTAAATCACGTCAACTGTGGACCACGGTTTGTGGGCGGCAGTCTTGTCCACGAGAAAGGCAAAAACGTGGCCAGCCAAACCTCAGGAACCGTGTGTCAGACACGTTACTCGTAAAATGCAACCCACGTGTTAAGGGCTTTTTTGCCTAATTCCACTCGAGTGGACCTCTATCACCCAAAGTGCAGTGGCATTTTTGGCGTTTTTCATAAGCTCTAACGCCGTCCTCATTCTTTCGTTTTGGGCTTTGTTTCGCCCACTAGTCGTTTGTCTAAGTTGCCTCAGGTGAGCGTAATTATCACCAGTCCTAATTGCACTTTTTTGCCATCACTTGACCACAAAATACTGCATAATTCGTCTATAAATCACACCAATCGTTTGTGGTTAGTTTTTATGGCACTTTTCCGGACCTCACCAAGTTGCTATCACCTAAACACTGGCAAATCAAACACTGGTCTTCACGCAGCTGTTTTGATGTAGTGAAAGAAATGGGATTTTGAGAGACTGTGTTAAGCGTTTCCGATTAATTACAATTGCATTTTTGAAGACTTACACAAAATCTCATGTCTGGTGACATAAGACGCATTTCCGCTTGGTCACGCGAAGAAAGGTAACCAGAAATGTTCAAACCCACGACTTCCAGTTGGTCTTTGACCTATTTTCTAAGCCACATTGCGCAATAACTCGAAAAACGCTATTTCGATGTTCGCCAACCATCCCAATCTAGCCGTAAACTTAACAAATCAGACCTTTTTTTAGGAAGACGGAAATGAGCAGAGGGTTGCCAGCACCAGTGGACCATGGCTTACGCTTTATTTTGCTTTCAGCTTTTTCTGTGACCAAGCTTTTCTTATGTTAAGGTTTTGGGTTTGTTGGCCAGCAGTGGACATCGCTTGTAATTTGCTTTAATCTGTGTTTAACCCGGAAGTCTTTGGGTGCGCGCTTTCACACATTTGAATATCCCACTGGTGTTCCATCGATTATTTGCAAAGCACCTTTGCTCTTTCTCATCCTAGCGTATTCCGATTGGTAGTTTACTCACGAGTCGTCCACCTGGCTTCGGTGATGGGGTGAAGTGTTTCGACCCCACCATCGCATCTCCCCCTCACAACATCAAAAAAGGAGAGTCGCCACGTAAGTTTACTTCCTCCAAATCTTCACTACCCTTCCAAGAAGTCCCTCTCCAATCTAGCCGTCTGTATTAGGATTATGTCAGTGAATCCTTAACTGAACGTCTTTTAAACTCCATTCACCATCAAACACTAGATTTCGATCCTTCAAGGCATCTGCCGAAGCCAATTATCAAAAACGTTGTCAATAAGCGTTATTCATTCTTTACAACCTGCTAAAGTGGCTTTTGTGGTGTAGACAGAGTTAATTTTCTGGCCTGTTAGCATGAAGTTAGCCAACCAAGATGTCTCGAAGTTGTCGCTTTTGCGTCAATGTCGGGCTCCGTTTTAGGCAAATTCCCCCGACGAATCACCACGACAGATTCAGACCTCTGCACACCGGAGCCTCGCCCAAGAACAACGCCCGTATTTATAACCGAAAATACAGACGTCATGCAGGCATGGAGCCGAGTTCCCTCCGACCCTTCGGATCAGGAGAGCATGGCCAAGCAGGAGGACGGTGGGGTTAATGGTATGACTCAGCCCTCTCCTAATGCGCGTCGCTCCGTGGTTGTGAAAATAGCGCTAATTCACCTTAAAGCTAGGCATTTTGAACTTTTCGCCCAGTTTTCCTTGCTTCTCATTACCGTAGGATGAGTGTCTTTTAAAGCATGCTGTCACGGCTATTTCTTGTTCGACCGTGTGTGTGTGTGTGCCAGCGTTAGTGGGAAGCGCTTCAGTTGCTCGTGTGCTGCGCCAACCCCGCCAGTTCCTTTGCGCCAGACGGTTTGCCAGGAGTGAAATCACACCTGTGCAGCGCGTCTCGTGACGCCAAATATCTTGTTGTGTGGGTAGTCCTCCCAGCGCAGTAAGCGCCAGCCTGCAAATTCTCTTCGACCAAAAGATTTGCGTTTTTTTTTTAATGAGACGCTCGCCAATTTCTCCCTTCCAGGTAATTTCACCCGGTTGAACGAACTTAATCAGCCAATTCTCATTACTCCAGACCCCGCCCAATTAACAATCGCCCCGTTTGATGAAGGTACTAAATCCACTGCTCCTTTTACGCGTCCTGGTGAGCGATTGCAAATGCCCCTCCACGCCCCGACACTGTATCCCGTCTGTTCTAATCTTACACAAAGTGCTTTGCAAACTTGGAGGATTTGTACACACCGTGTATTTGATTACTTAATCGCGCATTATTCACTCCAAAACAGAGTGGTGGTTTAATGCCAATTGCCTAGCTCATTTTTGTTCAATAATATTTTTAAAGAGTGATTGCAAGTACTAATATTGGAAATATTGGGCTCTGTTAAGTGCCGTCGATTTTTATCCATACACCTTGCCTTTTATTTAGTATTAAACACAGATTGGCCTGCCGATAGTCCCATTCTGTTAAACTTTTAATTCCTTGGCCATATCGCTGGAAAACAGCATCGTCTCAGATTTTGGTATGTCGATGTCCAGCTTTTCGAGGTAGTTATGGTCTCAGTTGTATTTGAAACTTATTAGCGAGTAATTAGCATTAAATTCCATCACACTAGCAATAATTTGACTGAGTGACAAGTTGTCAGCGCGAATAATGCAAGTTTGCCTGGTGTCAGTCATGTTTCCTTCGTGTGTGTTTTGGTGAAGGTTAGCTTACTTCTCACTTTCAACAAAATTTTGTTCGTGATCAGGGTCTCTTTCCACTTCAGTCCCGGTGCGTTGGAAATTGTTACAGCTTGAATTGCATATTTAGGATTGTGGATCATGGAAACACTACATTCCTTCACTCATTTTTATGTATTTACGCCACCGTTGCACTATAGACTACAAAGTTGTAGGCCTTGTCGTGACGCTTAAATGTGTTAGATGGTTGCGGACTAATTCCGATGCCCAAGTCACGAATACTTGCAAAATTATTGACACTTCAAGTCTCCGTGGCTGCAACTCGCGCGATAGCAATAAACTAATTCTCACCTTATCAACTATTTGATTTTTCATTTCGCAATGGCTTACCAAAATTCACACAGGATGTCACTAATTGTAATCAGACTACAGATTTTGTGATTGCACGAACCACGAATAAGATTGCAACATTTGCGAGTTTAAAATTGGTCATTCATTTAAAAGCACACCTAATTGCTGATCATCCCTATCAATGATTTCAACCTGTCGTATGCGTCATCGTGGTCGTTGAGTCGGTCAAACGTCATTGTTACAGCATCGTCGCACTGCACGAAATCAACATTTGAATCATCGCGTCTAGATAACACAATTGCAAGCGCAACTGCTTACAAAGCACCAGAGTTTACACCTTGCTGAAGTAGTTGAGGAAATGGGTCCGTACGTAGGTCAGTTTCGAGTGACATGAGAAATCCTTCTGGCCAGCGGCTGCGAATTCCTTGTAGACGGATGCTTTAGTGAGGGAAGAAGATTTGTATTTGCGTGTGTTAATTTAAGAAATGTCACCTTAAACTTTGCGACAGAATAAGAAAGCGATTGCATGGGGCTTGTCCACACAGGATGCGATCATGGCCTTTAGTTGTTCTGTCTGTTTAGCTACTGCTTCTAGTGGCATATTTTTGAAACAGCTATGAATTCGCCACCACATATTTGCGCTGCCCAAGCTCAGTACGACAGATCGCCTTTCTCTTCAAATCAAGACCTTTTAACGCCTAGCGTCTCAGCATACCTCTCTCTCGCATTTCAAGCATAAAACCACACCAGATTTGGTGAACGATTCCCCTCTTTTCAATATTTTTTTGCACAAAGTGGTGGCCTGTGACCCAACATTTACCTGTTCTCCCCCGTTTTGTCTTCTACAGCAGTGAAGAAACCAACGTCAGGGTAGATCAACTAATCCATCTTCTCAACCACCACCACGAGCCTCAGTTTGCTGTTCTCAACACATCGGTCCAAAGCACTTCTGGCGCCATTATTTTTTTTTCTGATAATATGCACTTCTTTATGTATTTTTTATATATCGTATCTTCCCACATATCGGTGTAGATTGCATAGGACATTTTTCTTGAGATTTTACCAGCGCTTCCCTCCCTTCCTCCCTCTCGGTGATATGTATCATCCCCTTCCGTGCTTCTTTTATGACTCCCCTCATGTATGTAATGTGCTGAATTCTTAATTATAATGGTATAATGTTACAGCACTTGGATTTTTGTTGTTCTGCAAGTTGACGGCAGTAGTGTGTGTGTGTGAGGCATCGCCTTTGCGTTTGTTGTTCAAATTGACTAAACTTTAACCCGCCTCAACGTCAACGTTTTCGTGATCAGTTAATGTGACCACACAAAACTGTGAGAGGGACAGTTCAAATTACCTAATATATTGAACAAAGGAGCATTGCGTAATTGGAACTGGTTTTACAAACCTCAGTGTCCTTCCGGCGATAGGACTTGAGATTTACGCAATCTGTTGGACAAAGTAGATTCAACAGCCCATATTAAGGCTCTCAAATCTCATCACTGCCGATTGCCTCTGATAGAAGCGTCGACATTTCACTAAAATGCCACGCGTATCTGAGATCGAGAAAACCAGGCTAGGCATGCCCAGGATAGACATCTTCACGGCCTGCAGGTGTGCCTCAGCACAAATTTGCAATTGGGCATATCCTTCGACGGGCATTCCCGCTTGGATGATTGACTACTGAGCCTGTGTGTGTCTAGTGCATTCACTGTGTTGTGTCTAGCGTGCATCTTTACTATCGACCAATCAAAAACTGGTAATTCTGCTATAAAATGTGGGAATTTCGCCTGCACACGACTAACAAGTCTCAAGCCTGTTTGAAAATGTGGGTGTAGGCGATTGTAAATATAGTGGTAGGGCTGATTTAGAAAACGAAGGATCGATGGTTCATAGGACAAAGAGCTTGGCCTAAAAAGCGAAACCGTGGAGTTACTTAACGTGGACTTATATGTGCAAAAAGAGAAATAAGGTTTAAAATTTAAAAAAAAACACTTTTTCCCTGGTGAAGAGTGTAAAGGTGGTTGAATGCACCTGGCTTAGAAACAGAAAGCGTATTTGTTCCGGCTTATCTGTGCACACACTCGTTGTGTGTGAATTCAGGGGTGGGTGTTTGAGTTAACCACATAGAAGCAGTTTTCCATTGACAACGCTATGCATGTCTGCCAATGTCTATTGCGAGACAATTGTTCGTATTGCGGAACTTTGAGGTTGTAGCGAATTAAAAGCAATCGCGCCTGAGTGAACCCCGTTTACTGACCTGACGGTGACAATGACTCATTCCCTTTTCATTGGGTACTGTTGTCAGACGCTTGACATCCTCTCACTCATCCACACACTAAGACACACACTTGGCTGGCGTGACGCTAATACACGATCGTGCCCTCTTTAGCCTCTCTTCCACTCCTCTCGGGTTGTTATGGGCTGTTAATTAGAGGGTTGTAAGATAGTGCTAAACTCTAGCTACTACAATCTCAAGCTGCGTGCAACGATGTGTGTTGCCACCATGTTTTAATGTTAACACCAGAGACACTAGGTAGCCACAATCAGACGTGAATTTAGCAACTGAAAATACGGCAACAAGTTATGTGCCATTTCCTAAGCTTGCTTACAGAAGAAACGATGATACCGACACATCTGGGTGTAGTCAACACGCACCTGCTAGTTTTTCGCAGCTGCCACTCCTTCGTGCTGTTTGATCCGAAGCATTGATCCGAAACACCCTGAGAGTAGGCACACACACACGAATTTCACTACTCTAAACTGCATCGAACACATGACGTCTTTGTTCTTTTTGTTGTGGCACTGGTGGTGCCTTAGGCCACTTTGCTAAGTTGCTGACTCGAAGGGTAAATGTTTAAGTTTAAAGTCACCTCCCACTTTGGGATGCTCAAATTCTCTTTTTTTCAATTACGACGCTGCTCGCAATTTCCCTTTCTACTCCTAATCGATATGAATCCAATTTGCACCACGTAGAATTCTGTAACACTCAATCAAAATCAAGGGTCACTCTTAAGGGTAATTTTTGAACAAACTTGGTAGCCGCGGGTCCCTGTGGGCTGTCAAATCTCAGTTTATTTGAATACAAATCACTTGAATGGTCCACAAAGTGAAATTGTCATCAGGACGAAACTGGAGCTAAGCTCGTTTTTTCTCTCTCCAGCAACCAGTTCTCTTTTGTTTACTTAAACGATTTAAGTAAGCAGCTCCACGGTTTGCAACTTTTAGGCCACCATTTAGACCTGTTGCGTGGGTGCGTTGAAAGCAAATGAGTGCGTATTCGCACTAAATATTTATTTACAGAGTCGGAAGCCTTCATTTTCGTGTTAAGAATCGTTTAGGCCGTCTCTACGGATAAGCGATGTTTGCTTGTTGACAAAAATCACCTCAAAATAATCCATCTAGGTTTACTTATGGATCAATTACTATTTCAAATTATGACAAACCACATTACTTGTGACATACGCGCTGAATTTAGAAATATTGATTTAATTTGCACGAAACAATCTGAGATTGCAATTAAAGCCTGCATTAATACCACTAATCTTCCATGATCAGGGTGTTGGTAACCTCGAGTGCTCATAAGTTGGCCTCAATTTTAGACACATGTAACACTGTCCAGTGTGATTGGTGCAACTGTAGGCGTGCGGATTTGTCTCAATCGGATCCTTAAACCCACGGGCCGCGAAATTTGTATTTCAAGACCTACTGAATACAGACTGTTTCGAAGGAAACGGACTACACTCTCATGAGTTACCGCCTCTGTGCTTAATCGAAGTGCTTAAAAGCTATGACCTTGGTCAATAATTACTTTAACTTTTTCTCGTAGTGATACAATATAGAGAAGCTGGGCGGGTTTACGAAATAACTCATGACAATTTAAACAACTGTTTTACTAAGGTGAAATGTGCATTTA